TCTGTGCAATGATTGAACGACAATTTAACAAGAAGGTTAAGGTGGTGAGAAGTGATAATGGAACAGAGTTTAAATCCTTGAAATCATATTTTGACRAGCAAGGGATTTTATTTTAGACTTCCTGTGCTAGAACACCACAACAAAATGGTTGTGTGGAGAGAAAGCATCGTCATATCTTGAATGTGGCAAGAACACTTAGGTTTCAAGCACATCTTTTGATCAATTTCTGGAGTGAGTGTGTTTTGATCGTAGGGTACTTGATTAATCGGACACCTTCAACCCTTCTTGGTGGTAAAACACCTTACGAGATGCTGTTTGGACAAAGTCCTTCTTATAAACATCTYAGAGTTTTTGGTTGCTTGTGTTTTTCAAATACTCGGGACCGTGACAAATTTGCCGCTAGGAGTAGGAAATGTGTCTTTGTTGGGTATCCTTTTGGGAAAAAGGGATGGAAATTATACGATCTTGAGTCTTGTGATTACTTCATCTCACGAGACGTGGTATTTAGTGAGGCCGAGTTTCCCTTTGCCACTCCAGAACATCAACCCTCAGTAACCAGTCCTCCCAAAGCCAAAGAAAATGTTGGTTGCCTTGGGCCACTCCTCCTGACATGGTATCTGAGTCACCTCATATAGAAGTCARGGGGAGCAACACGATCAATGAAGAAGGACATCAAAACGTGAGTAATGATGAGGAGGCAGGTCCTCTTGATGAGACAAGGAGCCATACAGATTGTAGAAGTAATGAAACTTCAGCTGCTCCTCAGCCCACCACGGAGTTATTAAGCCGCGGACATCGAGAAAAGCGGCCCCCCAGCTATTTACAAGACTTTGTCACACACATTGCTCATCATTTAGACCCCTCTGCCGTTCTCAGGTACTCCTTATCCCATAATTCATTACGTGACGTATGATAATTTTTCTGTGAAACAAAGACATTTCTTGGCAGATGTTACTGTAGGCTAAGAACCTACTCGTTTCTCTGAGGCAATTACTGATGCT